TCCCGCTCTCAGTGGTCTGAGCCTGCTATGGCTTGGTACAATAGTTGATCACGCTGTTGAGTAAATCATGTGTCTCTACTCGTGTAGATTATCTTTTGTTTTTATTCGCCTCTTTACGTGTGTCATTTTACGGCTTACGTTTTTGTACTTAATACATACACACTGCTAATTCTTTGTTCGGGGTTGTATATGGGTGTAGTTTGCCGATATTTAGTGCGAATAACACATGGTTCAGTTACACAATTATGTCCAGGGGCTCAGACTAGCCTTACTCACACATAATTTCACGACCTCTAAAAACATGCTGTTCCTCCGTAAGTTGAGTATCTGTTTACGTGCACTGTTATCATGCGGCGTGTATACAATCATGGAAGTAGAAAAGAGCAGGAGTGAGGTCGCTATTTAAGCCTGTGTTAATAATCCTATAAACATCCTTTGTCTTCGCTCTGGTTGAATCACTCATCGGTTTCTATTTAGAAGTTGTTTTATCTACATGATTATAGAAAGAGTCTCTTTTCTACCTCCATGATACAATCGAAGTTATGGCAATCTTGAGAGTTAGAAATGTATTTTTAATTTACTGAATAATGGCATATATTATTCTCGTGACGAGAAACTTTGAGACACATAAACAAATGTTGATATACAGTTAATTCGTTTTTAAATACTCAATGACTGGCCACGATTGGTCAATATGTACATGTAACATCATTGTCCAACGCTCATTTGCATTCTTATTTTTTTAAATACATAAAACACACACATAATATATACTTCGGTGGTACCATGGCGATTTTTTTTTTTAATTTGGAGGATAATTTTAGAACAGATGATCTCAGGTTCCTATTGCTTACAGGGGATGATAAAAAAAAACAGATTTTATTTTGTGAAAAAGAGAAAAAGAAAGACTTTGGTTTTTAAATTGTAATCAGTAGCAAGTGCGTGCTTGTGTTAACATGCGAGAAATAGACAAGTAAGTAACGAAGTCAACGTGTATGTGAACACTAAGTCATATGCCCAGATGAAGGGGGGTCACTAGTAGAAACTTACCAACGTATATGCGAAGCACCCATGAATGTTTATAGATCAAGGGATTTTCTTTTCAGCTCCGCTGTCATCAAAGACGACAGAGCGGAGATGTTCATATTGGTGAATGTCCGTCGTTGTCCATCGTCCAATCATCGTCTGTCGTCTGCCAACAAATTGACTCGTTCAAAACTATCCGCCCAATTACTTTGATACTTTGTATGTAGGTACTTTGGGCAGACCCATGTCAGATTTCTTCATTTCGCGACGATAATTTCCAGTCTCTATTTTTGTCGAATATTTGTGTCATTCTTGGTAAAAAAAAAATGCTTGTTTTGACTTCTTCTTGAAAATGCCAGCTCGACTTGAATACTTGGTATGACACTGACCTCTGTCATATTTTTTTCTTTTCGTGACTATACTTTCAATTCTCTATGTTTATACAATTTTTGATAAAAATATTATTATTGACTTGTTCTTGAACTGCTAGCTCAATTGCATTGGTACCTTGTATGTAGTACCATGTAAGGACCTCTGTCAGATTTGCAACCAGATGATAACAATTGTAGTTGCCATGGTAATATCATCTTTGCTTTGAGTAAGACTCTGCAAAACCAGCGGATCTATTTCGACTGTGAGGTCACTTGTTGATGGTCGAGGGGTCCCGAATCGATGGCGTTTTATTTTTGTTGTGTTGATATATATCGCCTTTCTCGGACCAACGTGCAATTAATGAAATAGTTGTGTTCTTGTTAATGCTACTTATACTATAATAATTTAACGAATGTGCTATTTATTTTCAGGTAGTTGTTCTCTTGAGTGACGGTCAGTCTAACACTGGCGGCGATCCTACCACTACCGCTGAAGAACTTCGTCAAGATGGCGTTGAAATCTTTACAATAGCAATTGGACTTTTCAACAAAGATGAGCTGAACAGCATCGCAACATCAGATCATCATACATTCGAATATTCGAGTTTTAGAGAATTCAAAAAACTGGCTTCAAGAATCAGAGGAGGTAATATCCAGGGACGTTATAATCCAAATGTCACTATGTGTTAGTGCGCCACCTAGCGAAGGGAAAGCAATGCACTTTCAACAACGAAGACAATAGAGGGCGTAGCTACTTTGCACTTTCAAATCAAAGAAAGAACAAACAAGTGCAGATTTCCATGTTTGTTGAGCCCATTGAATCAATTATATTGTATGTTGTGTGTTCACAGATGCCCATGAGGTGAAGTGGGATGCCACAGTGTCTTTAGACATGTGTAACAATCTATGCGCTCACCCGTCCATGAGCTTCGGTTGCTGCGACATCGATGCCAAATGTACCTGCGCATTGATAGGCGGTTTACATGACTGTGTTTGCGGACCTGGCTATTACGGAAACGCCGGCTTGATTGGTCAGTGCTCAGGCAAGTGAAGTAACTACTGTAATACATGAGTACTTTAAAATTCAGTTTCAGGATTCTGTTCGATAAGAGTTTACGTAAACTGTACAACATCCAAAGTATCCATGGTGCTCAAAGGGGCCATTGAGAGGTTTATAGTATAACATGTTAAACCAAGTACACAATTTTACGAAATATATACATCTGTCGTTTTTTAGTTATTTCATTTTGATGTAGACTGTAAGATTATAATAGCTGCGACATGTTCTCTCACGTACTTTCTATTATTTTCTCTGTTTAGTATGTCCCCGAGGTACCTATAAGAATTCATATGCACCCAGCGTAGCGTGCACTGACTGCCCAGAACATTCCAGTACCAGCAGGGACGGAAGTACTTCAATCAGCGACTGTCAGTGCAATCAAGGTTTTGAGGGAAGTCCTGAGACTGGACAACCATGTACACGTGCGTTTAACAATAGTAATTTGTAGCCCATGACGATATAAATATTTGACCCCAGGGATTTAGCTTTGTCGCAGAATGTAGTAACTTTGTCACAGAATGTAGTAACTTGGTCGCAGAATGTAGTAACTTGGTCGCAGAATGTAGTAACTTTGTCACAGAATGTAGTAACTTGGTCGCAGAATGTAGTAACTTTGTCACAGAATGTAGTAACTTGGTCGCAGAATGTAGTAACTTTGTCACAGAATGTAGTAACTTGGTCGCAGAATGTAGTAACTTTGTCACAGAATGTAGTAACTTGGTCAGCAGAATGTAGTAACTTTGTCAGCAGAATGTAGTAACTTTGTCACAGAATGTAGTAACTTGGTCGCAGAATGTAGTAACTTTGTCACAGAATGTAGTAACTTGGTCGCAGAATGTAGTAACTT